CGGCAAATCATTCATTTTCGGTCCTCTTCAGTTCTCACCTTGTTTCGGTTTCTTCACGGTTACGGTTTTTATCCTTTTCGGTCTAACCTTTCTGTTTCATGTTTGTTTTCGGTTTCACGTTTTCGGTTCAATCTTTTCGGCTTAACCTTTTCGGTTTCAAGTATTCGACTACACTTTTTCAATTTAATCTTTTCGGTTCAACCTTTTCGGTGTCACGTTTTCGGCTTCACTTTTTCGGTTTAAAATTTTCGGCTTCTCGTTTTCGGTCCTTCTCGAGTTCACGTTTTCGGTTTCATGTTCTCGGGTTATCCTTCATGGCTTAACCCGTTCGGTTGCACGTTCTCGGTTTCATGCTTCGGTTATTCGCTTTTCGGCTTGACCTTTTTGGCTTCTCCTTGTCGGCCCTTTTCGAGTTCACGTTTTTGGTTTCTTCATGTTTTCGGGTTATCCTTTTGGCTTAACCTTTTCGGTTTCACGTTCTCGGTTTCACGATTCGTTTATTATCTGTTTGGCTTGGTAACCTTTTCGGCTTCTCCTTTTGTCGGTCCTTTTCGGTTTCACGTTTTCGGTTAATTTGTACTTTTGGGCTCAACCTTTCGGTTTCACGTTTTCGGCTTAACTTTTTCTGTTTAATCTTCTCGGCTTAACCTTTTTGGCTTCTCCTTTTCGGTACTTTTCGGTTTCACGTTTGTTTTCGGTTTCATCTATTCGGCTTAACTTTTTCGGGTGAACCTTTTCGGTTGTCGTCTTAACTTTTCCGGATAAATTGTTCTGGACAGGCTTGTAATAATTTCTCCGTGTTGGTGGACTACTCTGAGCTCATGAATAATTTCTCCGTGTCAGAGGATTACTCGTACGTTGGCACCGCGTCGGTAACCACTAACGCTAACCCCCACCCCTGTGAGATTCACCCAAAGACCTCGACCGGCGACGTCGAAGTTGTCTCAGATGACCCGCAACTAGATGCGCGGGGCCACCGTCATGCGACCAAGTGGCGAGGTGCCCAACCGCGTCGTTCTACGGGCACCCTTGACGGCGTCGGGCGACATCGACTACTACCCTACGACTGTCCGACGTCATGGATCAGCAACGCCGTGATCAGCACCTACAAGCCGAACAACAACCCCTCATGCAGGAGGCAGCCCAGCCTGCACAACTCGGGGCAGGGCCGCCGCATCCCCCCCACCGCATGGTGGAGTGCCCCCCGTTCCTCCGCCGCCGCCGCTTCCCTCGCAGGGAGCGGCGCACTCCCCTCCCCCGGGAGGGTTGGAGGGGTTCCACTCATTCACCTGGGTGACCCCTTCCCGCCGCCGCCGCAGCCACCGCCGCCGATGCTGCAGGTGCTGCTCCCCCTACCGGGCGGAGTTCAGCCCCAGCATCAGCCGGCCGGGCAGTAATAGCAGCAGCAGCAGCAGCAGCAGCTTCAGAATCACCTGGTTGGGCAGCCCCTGCAGGAGCAGCACGAGCCTCACCCACGTGGGCAGCCGCAGCAACAACATCAGCTACCGCCGGCCCAGCACCCTAGGCCGCAGCAGCCGGGGCCACAGCAGCCGGGGCCTCAGCAGCCGGTGCTGCACTTCCAGAGGTTGTCACGAACAAAGTCACGAGCATGAAGGGCACCTCGACCAAACCCTTTGGTACGCCCGTTTTCCAGGAACCGCCGATGGTGCCGGCGGGACCAGTGCTCGACCGTGGGCCGCTCGGACGTTGGTGCCTCCGACGCAACAGGAGAAGACCGGCCCGCCGCCCTTCGACGCGACCGCGGAAAACCGGGCAGCGGGGGAAGACGAGAAGGTTCTTGATAGTGTCTCCCACGTTGCACTTGGGCCGACTGAGGTATGCCGCCAGCCGTCGGTGCCGCTACCCGCCTGCATTCCCTCCAGCTCATACTGGAGCTGCCCCCTGCGGCTGCCCCGAGCCGTTGCTCGGGGCGACGGTGCCGGCGGAGCGTTCCTGGCACTCGAAGGTCTGCTACGAGTTGACGCCGCCATCGAGCCCGACTGGACCACACTGGAGTGCGGGAGCTAGCAGCTGGAGTAAAGAATCCGCGTAGTCCCAACTCCGCTTGTTGGATGTCACTGCACGCAGTTGCCGAACGAGCTCCGACCGGAAGTCCTCATCGCCAACGCCTGCGAACGCTACGGCCCCAACCACCGTGGTGACACGGCGGCCACCCAGACCGCTGCCATCGTGGACACCTTCACCGCCTCCAGGGCGCAGCTGCTCCTCCTGAAGTGCACAGAGGGAACACCCAGGACACCGGCGTGGAAGGACCGCATATGACCGACCTTGGAGCAGGCCCGGTGCACCGTGGAGGATGCCACCCTGCATGCCACCCATGCTGGCGTCCCCACCGGGAAGCACCGAGTCTTCGTCGTGGCCATCAAGCGGCGGCACGACATCACCCCCGAGAGATTTCCTGGTGGGTAAACCGGTCGGCAGTGAATTCACCGACAACGACGGACAGCTCAAGGTTTTCAAGGCGTCCGTCTTCGACTACTGCGGCTCTTACTGGCGTGTGGAGTACCCGGACGGCGATTGGGAGGAGCTTACGAACAGAGAAATGGATTGCGGGCATAGGCGTCGCCACCCCACCATCCCTCTCTGCCTAACCCTGGACGACGAACTCCTACCACTGCCGTGAGCCCGCCGACTGTCGTCTGGCGACCTGGAGGAGTGCGCCAGCAGTGGGAGGATGTAGTCGAAGTGCTGCGTCGTCTTTTTTCTCACCGGGGGAGACCCAAATTGAATTTATTTGGGCAGGGAAGTGAACCGCGTGCTGGCACCGTACGGCCGCTTCGTTGCATATCTGTCTGTGTACCACACGGTCTATGCTGGGGGGAAGTTCTGGACGGCCGTGTACGTCGGTTCTAGATAGTGCGATGATGGACATTTGTGACGCAAAGATACAAGTGTCCAAAGTACATATACCTGTGATGGGTACTTCGATATTAACCACAAGTGCCCGGAGGGGGGTTTCCCGAGAAGATGTAATAACCGTCTCTCGGGCTAATAATGGAAACCAACGGAAGGATTCCGATTGGTTTCCATTCCCCGTTCGATGATGAAACGGTTCCTCCGAATGACGGCTGGCAGCTACCTTATCGCCTGCAGTCAGTGACCTTTTGTGTCCGGAAACTGAGCACGAAACATTTGTGAACGAACCCGACCTGAGCGCTATTGTCGACCTGATATCACAACTGTGAGGCATGACCACGCCTGCATGCATGCCTGACCGGATGATGGAGTATCGGAGGAGTTGGAACGTATGCGAAACATTTGTGAACGAACCCGACCTGAGCGCTATTGTTGACCTGATATCACAACTGTGAGGCATGACCACGCCTGCATGCATGCCTGACCGGATGATGGAGTATCGGAGGAGTTGGAACGTATGCATGATTGGAGTACCGCTACTTGGTCGCTTGTGTTGATGATGGAACGCTTGGCATATGTCTACAACATATCGAACTCGCACTAGCTAGTGATCTGCGCAGCAGGTGAGAGTTGATTTGCCTGGAGATACGTTGTCTAGTCTTGTTTCTGGATGACAATCTTTTTGGCTGAACCTTTTCGGTTTCGGTTTAAACTTTTCGGCTAACCTTCTCGGTTTTATCCTTTTCGGTTTGTTTAGCATTTTCGTTTCACGTTGTTCTCGGTTTCACGTGTTCGGTTGATCCTTTTTCCGGCCCAATCAAGCTTTCTTTTCGGTTTCACGTTTGTGTGCTTTCGGCTTGGCCTTATAGGTTTCATGTTTTCGGTTAACTTTTTCGTTTTCTTCATGTTTTTGGCTTAACCTTTTCGGATTCGGTTTAACCTTCCGGCCGAACCTTTTCGGCTTCTCCCCCTTTTCGGCTTCTCCCCCTTTTCGGCTTTCTTTTCCTTTCCGGTCTTTTTTAACCTTTTCGGTCTAACGTTCTCGCTTTCACGGCTCGGTTATCTTTTCGGCTTAACCTTTTCGGCTTCTCCTTGTTCGGTCCTTTTTTTCGGTTTCACGTTTTCGGTTTTATCCTTTTCGGCTTAACCTTTTCGGTTTCACGTTTCCTGATTACTTTTTCGGTTTCGGTTTAATCCGTGCGGTTTGATCTGTTCGGTCCTTTTCGGTTTACCCTTTTCGCTTTCTTTCACTGCTTCGGTTTATCCTTTTCGGCTCAACCTTTTTGTTTTTCATATATATTTTCGGCTGAACATTTTCGTTATTTTCGGTTTAATCTTTTCGGTTTCAAAGTTGTTTTCGGCTTCATGTTTTTTTCGGCTTTACCATTGTTTTCGGCATATATATATATATATGTCCTTGTCGGCTCTTGCCGGTTTCCCGTTTGTTTTCCGTTTCACTTTTTTTTTGGTTTATCCTTTCTTTTCGACTTACCTTCTTTTCTGTTTCAAGTTTGTTTGTGTTTTCGATTTAAGGTTTTCGGTTTGATCTTTTCGGCTTAATAAACTTTTCGGTTGCATTTTTTCGGCTTAATTAACGTTTTCGTTTTCTTCGGTTGAACTTTTCGGCTTCACCTTTTCGGTTTCGGTTTAACCTTTCCGGCGTCACCTTTTTGGCTTCTCCTTTCCGGTTTAACAACTATTTCATCGGTCTAACGTCCTCGGTTTCATGTTTCGGTTATCTTTTTCGGCTTAACCTGGTTTCATGTTTTTGGCAAACCCTTTTCGTTTTCTTTCCAAATTTAACGTTTTCGCTTAACCTTTTTGGTGTCGGTTTAATCTGTTCGGCTTTAATCGGGTATCAAGAGCTGAGAAAAAGAAGCGTCTACCCATAACCGCGAAAGGCATCCGCATCAGTTGGATCGGTAAGGATGTTACAAGGCACTGAGCAAAGATCGATCTCAAATGTTAAGTCAACAAGCGTGCGAAGCTTGTCCCCCAATTGCGGGGGAGGGGCTGTAGGCTGTGCGCGACTCGCTCACCCTCGTGCCGCGCTTATCCGGGATGCGGTGCTGAGACTCGAGGCCCGAGGCCCACGATCGTGTACTTTGCCGAACGCTGGTCGTCGAGGGCCTCCTGCTTGGTCTGGTCGAACTTCTCTAAGAACTCCGTTATCTCCTTGTCCCGCTCTTGTAGCACCTCCACTTATCCGTCGGTTATATTCGTCTTGAAGGCGACGCGATTCTGCTAAACTACCGTGAACGATTACACCCTCTCGTGTGAAACAGCAGTGCTCCGAGAATACGGCACTGGTCAGATGGGGGGGGAAAACCCACGCATGAAAAAGAAGAAAAAAAAACAGGCCCTGCGCAAAGCAAGTACGGTCAAGACAACCCCGACATGTTGCATGTCCAGCGACGACAGAGGGGGTCTTGAAAACCAATCCTGCCTTCGTTTTGTACCGTTGTTGTTTCTGTTGATTATCACAATAGCTCGTTGCCAGAATCTAGCCCTTGGTCGGTCACAAACCAGGCCAATATTCGTGGTGCTGAGGAAAAATAGCAAAAAACAGCAATCGGAAGGCCTTGTACAGTGCATACAGAAAGCAGGCGTACCGCCCACCAGGGGGTGATATCTTTGGTGGTGGCCTAAACTTGCAAAAAACGCGGAAATACTGGCGGCTCGAAAGAACAAGTCGAGAAAACACAAAACAAATACTTGAAAGTATACGCAAGAAGCCCGAACAGATCCAGAAAGTAGACAACACGACAACCACGACAGTCAGAGAAATAGGAGGGGATACGAGAACAGGTAATACCGTAACGAACCAAGGAGAAGAACAGGGAAAAAAAGCAGGCCATAAACAACATAGGGAGGAAGGAACAATATGTATTCATGTATTGAAGGGAACAGCATATGGTATAGATGGGTGAACACAGAGCGGTTTATCGCAAACGAAGCTCGATACGAAGTCTTCCTGCTCACGCCTTTGCCCTCCTCACTCGCACTGTCGCTTCTCTGCTACTCGTACCACCTCACACTGCTGAGCTTCTATCCTACTTCAGCTTTTACGTATATGGGGGGGATATGCAGGGGGGTGGGGGCGGCAAGATACGCAGCAACACTCATTCGACATACGATCATGCATCTGGGGGGGCTGACCATGTATGTCGCTGTCAGGCATCCTGGGTAGTAGCATGCTTCGTTCAGTACCGAAGAGGAAGACGCAAGCCTACACATCAAGTCCAAGAAAGTCTGCCCACAACGGAGGAGCATATCATAATCATCAACATCATCATCGCGGTGGTAGCGGCACAATCATACCCGTGTATCACTATCCTGCACATCGCCGTACGTACTACCCTGGACGCCGTACAAGTCAACCAAAATCAGCACATCATGTCGAGGCTGGAGGCCCAACCCCAGCTCTATCTGGCAAAGAGCCTGCTACTTACTAACGTGTTCACGCAAAGAAAATCTCAACCTCGGTACCTCGGAATCTCCCCTAATATCCAAAGTCACGGCAGGGACAACATGCCCTTGAATTAGGTCAGTAGTGCCACTCGCTTATGCGTAGGGCTCCCGTTCTCCCGTGAAACCTAACGCTTTCAATGGCGCTTACTATACGATGGTGATATACGAAACGCAGAGGGAAAAAAAAAACGCCTCGCTGCCGCGCCAGACTTCACATGTAGATGGCCAGCGAGCGGGAAATAGGACCACTGTATGGTCATGCCGAATGCCATGCGGCAGATGAGCGGACTAACGACCTGATCAATCAATCCAGGTTTTTCATAGCTTTTCGCGTGCTGCTCGTTGTGTCACGCATTGCGTACGTTACAAATAGTAGCAGCCATGCCACGGTCCTGCTCGTATCACAACCTGAAGGAGGAAACGATTGGCAAGGTCTGCGGAGAGATTGCTCGCTCCATGCCGTCGGCGTCCTTGACCTTTTTTTGCACAACGCGTGGGGAGCAAGAAAACAGACAACCGGGTGCGAGGATTGATTTACACAAAGCGAAACACGTGCGAGGATGCCACTGCCGTTGTGCATTTGAACAACCGATTGTTGCCGTGTGTGCCCGAAATTCCCCGTTGTATAAAAACGCTTTCAAGATTATCGCCATAATAAACAGGACGAAAACACACAAACATTGAGCGTGCAGCCTCCGCTTTCTCTCTAGTCGCATCATGTTGTGCAGCTTCTGACCTTCGTGTCGCCGCGAACTACTTTTTATCATACAGGGTGCTCGTAGCTGCTGCTAACGTGTGGATCTCAACAACACAGCAGTATCAATATCCTTCAACACCAAACGGTCGACCTGACAACACATGAGGAGTCACCCACAGAGGAAGCAACAAAAGCGCGGAATGGTTGCGACGAGCCATGCCAACCAACCCCATGAACCCCGAACAACGCACCATGGATTCTATCTGGTAGAGGGTGTTGAGAATGTAGTCCACCGCTGGACGCTTCTCCGGATCGTTCGCCCAGCACCCCTGGATGAGGTTCTGGACCCGCTCAGTTACGCGGCTTCCTCCAGGCCAGGAAAATCCGGCGGGAAATTCGGGGCGGAGACCCCGGCACACCTGCCGAGGGTAGTGCAGATGGCCTTGATTCGCCCGGGACACGTACAGATCAAACACCGGCGTGTTTTGCTATTCTTTAAGTTCTCGCTTGTCAGTTGATTTTCTGGTGGTGATGAACAATTTCTTGTTGGATGGGAACCCATTGAGATTCCAATGACCTTCCACCAGTAACCCAAATCTAGAGTGCGGTCGGAGGTTGACCAGTGAGAGCTCACAGCGTACGCAACAGGTTAACAAAACGTCCCAATCGAAGCTCAATCGAAGTTTTGGATCATTCAAACATGCACAGCAGTACACACAAGCGATTTCAACTTCACCACCAACACCATCACCAGGTCACGGTCCTGTCTTACGAATGCTTCTGAAGAATCGCGTTTCAAGAACATCCAGAAAATAATGCTTCTGGCCTTGAGCAAAACCTACACACGAAAGACGTGTGAAAGGCGAACCTCCTGGTTGATAGCATGCCCCGAAACATCGGGCTTGTAGGGGCGGTGGTAGCCGGTGAACAGCAGGAAGACGGTGACGCCCAACGCGAAGACGTCGGTGTGAGGGCCGCTCCTCCATTCCTTCGTGAACTTTCCCGGCTCGATGACCTCAGGCGCCATGAAACTGACGCGATTGGGAAAGGAAGTGGGGGGGTGTTTAGGGTATCAAGTGGAAACTTAATACATTGGGGGTACTGTAAATGATTTATTTCTACGGGCAAAATGGCAAACGAAAGAGGGTGAAAAAAAAAAAAAAAGCATAGATGCTGAGGAAACACGCCACAGCCTAGAATTCTCAGTTTTTTTGTGTCTCGGCGGAAGTGAGCGTGGTCGTTGACAAATCAGCTACGCCCGTTACACGTTGAACAACAATCCATACACAGTCACGTCGCCTGTTGTTGTTGCTATATATAGGCTGCTATGACCGCCCTTTCTTCGGTGGAAATTGAACTTCAGCTCGTTAAGTACCACCGAACAAGGGCGTCACCGCAATTGCTCCAACCTTCCCGCCGGCGAAAATGCACGCGTTCTATTTTACCAAGCGCCTGTCATTGTCAGTCACGACGTTCTGGTATAGTTGGCCCATCCACGCGGGTGACCGAACTTACCCGAATGTTCCGCCTAGCATGCGGTTGGATGTTTGGGTACCGTTCGAGATGATCTTGGCCAGGCCGAAGTCCGTCAGCTTCGCTTTGCCCCCGCCGCCGGCTCTGTCGAGCTGCCGATTATCAGATCGTGCATGTATGAGTTGCAGCCAGGAATAAAATGCTTCTCGCAGCCAAAGATTGAGACCTTCCCAGGCCATCGTTCTTGTATCATGTGCGCAGGACGAAGAATACTTCATCTCGCCACCCTTTGGTATGTTCATGTCAGTACCATAAAACCGCTATGTGCCTCTCGAGTCGAATAGTCTGCGGCCACCGTTGTTTCATTTTTTTTCAGGACGAGCACAGTCGATTCGGCAGGGCAAAACTCTTCCGTTGCGGTGACGGTCAGACTGTTGAGACACCACAGCCGAATCAAAGGGGGGGCGGCATGGTGATAACCCTATTTATTGTGACTTCAAGTAAACCTCCCTCTCTCACCATGACATTGCCTGGCTTGAGGTCGAGGTGAAGGAGCTTGTGGCGGTGAAGGTGGTCAACCCCCGCGGCGATGTGGCGAGCATACTTCAACGCGTCACCGTAGGTGATAACCTGCGTGCAAAACCAGCGAGTCAATGAGGGAGTCGGCAATAACACTGCACCACGCAGGCAACGGCACGGCGGTGTTGGCGGCACGAAGCCGGTTGGACAATTTTTCCAGGGCAACGGAGCACTTGCAAAGGATTCCGCATCAAAAATCCTTCTCCTATCAAGCGCAGAGAGACGCAGAATCGCGACTGCTCCCCGCAACCAACAAGTGTTCATGAGGGACGCCATCACTGGATAAACAGCCGTACACATCTGCCCCATAGTCTATGGCGCGGCATCGGCGTCACCCTGTCGTTGTAGAATCCTTCGTGTAAAAAAGTGTGCGTCAGGTCTTCCCTTCCGTACATACCTCCATTTCGTCTCCACCAAACGCGTCGTTGAGCAGGGTCTGCAGGGAACCGCCGTTACACCAGTCCGTCACAAGCCGCAGCGCGCGGTCGGACTTGCTCCTTTGAGTGACTCCCACCATCTGGTTTAGGTTAGGTGTTGTAAATAGCATCACAGGGGGCAAGGCGTTGAATGTTTGCATATTTGAAAGTGATGGTGGGCGAATCTCAACTATTTATTGCTGTGTGGTTTCAGCGAACCATCCGTTGGAGAAGAGGCGACCCATGAGCCTATGCGCGGTTCAACGTGTCACCAAGTCAACTCAGACTCACGGGCACGATGTGTGGGAACGACGGGATGCTGAAGTGTACCCGCATCTCTCTCACGAACAGGTCGTAGTCGTCCTTCGCCAGGCTTGGCAGGAGTTCTTTCACCGCCACCTCGGCGCCCTTCCGGTACACCGCCTTCCTCACGAACCCCATGCCACCCCTGCCCGCCTCGTCCTGAAAGTCCAGGTCTTCGACCGCCAGCTGTGGCACGCGCGGCATCGCCCCCGCCGCGTCCTTGATGTCCCGCGAACTCGGGGCCGTCCCGAACCCGTAGGCGGGTGGCGGCGGTCGGGGGCGATTCACGCCCGGCATGGTGGCAGCCGAAGGGCCTTCGTGCCGTCCCGTCGGCACCAGCTCGTTCTTGTGAAAGTCAGACTGCGGGTTGTCCCTCGTCGTGTGGTACGTAGACCGGAGCATGTCGACGGAGGAGGGGACGGGAGCGCTGTCGTGGATGACGGCTTTAATCGACGGGAGGAATTCCAGGTGGGTCCCTGCGCTTGACCGAAAAGGTAGACAGTGCGGAGAACGGACGCGGCGGGTCTCTGCGTTGACACAATTGCCACGATGCGAGATGAGATGTATCCTCTAAAGCGACGCATGTGCCGAAAAATATTAAAGATCGTGTAGAGGCCAGAGGTCGTAAGAAAAGGACCCAACCTCTCCCTAGCTATTCTCGTGGTGAACGTTATGTCATCATATTCAACACCTTTCCCCCATGTGTCGGCCCTGCCTAGTGCTCACAAGGTGGCGTTTTTTTCAGCTTAGGGTGAGAAATGAATACCCGCTAATCCTCAACATTATTCTCTACCAGGTATCACGTAGCGCAGACAAGTTTTGGGTCATTGTTGCCCCCAAGACACTGGAAGTTGAGCGAAACAAAACACAGACACAGAGAATAGCGGCGGGACCTTGGACTACAGAGAAGCGGTGGCGTCTCACCAAGGCAAAGCTGGAGGGACTTTCCCCTGACGAGGACCGTGAGCTGGCCATCCGTTAGACCACCGTACGGAACGCTGTACCCGTAGTACAGCCGTCCGTTCTCCTTGTCTGTCGAGCCCCCCGAAAGTCGTGTACGTATTTGGCACAGCGGTACGATGTCAGGTACGCGAGATGGATATATTCCAGGGGTAGCGGTTTCACGATCAAACAACAAGATACGTGGCGGAAGGGTGTCGAGAGATCCCAGTCATGTCCAAATGGCTACGATTAAGATGCATGCGGCGAAACCTCAAACAAAAAATCTCTCTCCTTTCCTTGCGTAAGCAGAGCAGTATCACAGGTCGTTGACACTTTTTTTTTTCGGCGCCACTCCAAAACAAACGCCACTATTTATGTGGTACGCAGTTTTACTTTTTCTCACCGAGCTTGAAGCCCCCGACGGCGCTGTTGGTGTTCACTTTTTCGATGAGTCGTGACAGCGGTTCCACTCGGTGCGGGGGAACGGCATCCACCATGAAGACCCGGACCTCCAGTATCTTCTCGTCCGTCTTGTCGCAGGCCCAGATCACGGCCGTAGTACCCTTGTAGTCGTACACGCCCTGCACCACGTGCGAGGCACCCTCAACGTCCGATTCCAGCGAGCTGCAGTCCCCGCGTTCGAGCAGCAGGTCCTTAAATGCCCTGGCGGCGACAGAGTTCTCGACGGCCCGTGAAGGTTGCACCGGCGGAGGTTGGGGAACCGGAGCAGACGACGTCGTCGTCGTCGTCGTCGTTGAAGAAGACGACGACGACGAGACCGGTTCGGGTTCGGGTGCCGGGCGACGAGAGCTACCGCCGCCGCGTTCCTCTTCCAACAACCTGGCTTTTGCCGCGTTCGCGTCTTCGATGCTCCCTCCCCCGATGATGAGTTTCAGTGAGGGCATGAAGACGTAGAAAGTCGCCATGAACACCGAGAACCTTATGGAAGAGGAGTTTGTTTAGTGGGAGCTGGACGTGTGAGAATACTGTATATCACAACACCACCAGGGTGCAGGGGTTGGTGCGAACAATTATTTATCCTCGTCAATGAAACAAGTCCATGCGCAACGAAAGAGAGCGTGTCGCGCACGCAAAAGTCTCACGAGCGTATATCGGCTTCCGCAGACCACGGCGGTATGCCCCTTGCTCACCGCTTCAAACGATTTTGGGTGTTCAAACGGTTTTGGGTCTCTCGATTATTTTTTCGTGGTCCCGGCATTCGACTAGCCACTCCGTACTATAATAATAGTACAGCAGTAGTGGCTCTGACGTTTCGACAACAGAATGACTGCTGCATCTTGGTACTGCGAGATTTCCCCGCGCAGACCCGCTCAGCAGCATAGAACAACCTTCACAGAAGAGGAGCAGCATCCTCCATCAACCCCCACCGAGGGAAAATGTACAGGACAACAAAAGCTGCTGAGCACGACGTCCGCAGAAAGATTTGCGCGGTATGGCCAGCGGGGCAGCGACTCGATTGGGCGGCTAGCACCTGCAAAACCTCCCAACCTTGTACAATGTACCATAGAAGATTGCACTGCTCACCATGATCGAAGAAGATGAGCGCAGTCTGATTGCGTCATTCCCTCAAGAGGCAGGGTGCAGTTGTACATCACCTCGCCGTCACGCATGTCGAGCTCGAACTTTCCGTTGTTGAGACTAAAGTTAACCTGGCCACGCCGAAACGAACAGATCGCCCGGGACGGGGTTGGTTGTGGGGGGCGGCACATGGAAACGTACAGCAACACGATTATGATTCTTGCGTACATCACATGGATTGCATCGATCGGAATCGCGACAGCTACATGCGTGTACAACTGCCGGAGGCATCGACGGGAATCGAGGGTAACAACGTAACAACCGCACGCCATTCATTTATGAATCTTTCTTTGGTTAAAACCCCTAGATCACTTGCCAATACTTAATAAACCTGTGTTCCGCTCAAAACGACGGCAGGTATTCGTCTGGCAAAACAGCAAATTAGGGCTTTTGGTATCAGACAAGCCCTTAGAAAGAAGGTTCTTCGGTGCGAGCGACGACCCTCGAAGTGGAACGTTTCATGCCTTCCAGCAGTACCGTGCCAAAATATACATCTTGTCCATTTACCTGGGCAAAGTACGTCGCGACGACGCTCCGCTGCCGCTCGTCGCCGACCTTGTCGTCGAGTACTGCGAGCATAGTGCTGCGAATGTTGTTTCCAGGTTTGCACATGAACCGTACCGTGTACCCTCCCGTGAACTTCGCTTTCAGCGTGGTGACGGAGGAGTCGGACTGCATCACTTCGTAGACGTAGTCCCTTCCCTTGAAGATGTCCTCCATCGCCTGCGTGACGAATGACGACGTTATCTTCGCCGTCGGCGCTGAAGCATACGCGAAAGCGGCGTGGAGGGGGCGCAAAATGATGCGTCAGGCAAGCAGGTAGGAAGGCAGACTGGCCAAGCTGCTGTTGGCATGGTTCTAGCCGTCATGCGGCTGCTGAAATACGGTTGTCCCACGTCCGTCCGCGGAAGGTAGTCCGCGTTCTCTGTCCACCCCCTAACGCCGTACGGAAGAGGCTGATGCAAACCATTCCCGCAATGGACACCCTCGGGAGAAAAACAGCAGAAGAGCACTGGATTTCGTTTTTATCTTTCCCTTGTGCAAGCACAAAGGCCGTTGGGGCAATGAAACTTCCTTTGCGCACCAAATCTCCCTTCGCGATTTAGAACCATCTCAATCAACACCCGCAGGGTTTGCTTGCTGCGAAACGCTCAAGAGCGTCCGAGTCCTGCCAAGCGCATGTTCCCCATGCTCTTTGTTATACAACCATCCAATCTAGGATGGGGTATCCTCAGGCTCCAAAACCGTGGGTGTGCACAGGGGTTAGAGGTCAGCGACGTAGTGGTCAGCGACGTCACCGCACCTTCTGAAGGCGAGGAGCTAGATCCACTGCGTATTGAGGACAACGTTTGGTCCACGACCCCCTCTGCGGCCTCAATGCTCCGTCCTTCGATAAGGGCTTTCATGCCATGGCGATAGACGGCAAAAGTGGCCATGAAAGCTTTGAACCTGAAGGTTCACGTGTTGTCCGGGATTTTTTTGTGAGAGCGGGAATGACGGGGGTGTATCGATACTCTTCGAATATACGCGGATGGATGTGGGCCCCGGGGTTGCTTGACAGCGGTGCAGCCACGGGTGACGCTACTGCTGTAGTTGATCTTGTGACAATCGATCGTTGCCTGATGAACATGTGCAACGGGCTACAGTATGTACTTAATTAACTGTACTTACACACTTGTTAGGATATGTACCGCCGTTGGATGGGCGTCGAAAACATCAGAGAGCCTGGCATCCGTCCGTCTCGCTCAAAAGGCCACCGAGCGCAGTGCGCGCCTCCCACCGCACGCGTTCGCGTGGGGTTGAGATTATTCTAACACGGCAACCTCCATATAACCTGGCATGCACATGCAAAATATTGTGGTCCTGCGTATAATCGCGATATCTGTATCATCGTGCCGTGGCCTGCTGCTCACCAAGATTGGAGGAGGGGGATGCAATCCCCGAGAGTCATGCCCTTGAGCGGCTGAGTGGAGTGGAAGACCACCTCGCCGTCCGTCAGATCAATCCGAAATTGTCCAACGTTGAGACGAAAGTTGGCCTTGTTGGCCGCCACGTCGTAAGCGACAAGTCATGCGCACAAGTAAAAGAAAGGGGGAAGTTAGGGGACGTACCAACACTTGTTTTTGCTGCAAGTGTTGGGAAAAAAATGTTCACGAGTGCAACCTGCAAGTAATCGCCAGGATCGGCAAAAGAAGAATCAGAGGCAGCGTCACGATTCGCTTTAAGCCCTTGGAGAACATGCGGGGACCCGTTTCTCACAGGTTCACGCCGGAGCTGTAATGGGGAGCACTTTCCATGGGGAACATATCGATGATTTCATTCAAATCGATCGCGCAACATGATCAAGTCACTTGTTTTCTGAATATCTAAATTGCGTGTGTTGCTTGGACTGAGGGAGAAGCGGCAAGCCTCAGAGTGCTCCGCAACGAGACATTTCAGCACATCACGGTAGCCTACTCAAGGTTGGCCGGGAGGAAGAGGGAGCCGTCGAAAAGTGTATGGGTCAGTCTACCCCCACGTCCACCATCATGCAACGAAAAATGGCACCCATGAAGAAAATCCCCTGGGGGAAGGAGGAAGACAAAAATGATAACTGATTGTTGTGCGTTCTCCCGTTCCACATAAACGCCACACCCACGCATCTCACGGATTTCTCCGACTACAACCGAGGTGTCCACTTCTGCGTTGTTGAAATGTAAGACAAAAGCCACAACGATGTACGTCCTCACCACATGGAACTCGATGAGCTACCGGTGCGTCGACCATGAACAAATAGAATATCCTACGAAACACAGAAAAACGTCCACCGAGTGTGTACTCCAAAAATGTTTAGAGTACTCTACCTCCGTACGTACTTCGAATCCCAATACCCTGGGCCAGGTAAAAGTATTGAGAGCGTTCCGGGCCGAAATTTTTGGGGCTGGGACAACCTTACAGGGGATGTACTCTTTTTGACCTTGGCAATGTACGTCGCCGCCACGCTCCGCTGTCGCTGGGTTTCGATTTTGTCGCCTAGGATTGCCCTCAGTGTGCTGCGAACCGAGTTCTCCTGCGTGCAGGAGAAGGTGATGGTGTACCTCTCTCGGAAACGCGCCCTGAGCAGGGTCATGTTGTCCATCTCTTGACTCTCGTAGACATAATTCTCGCTCGAGAGAATCGCTTCCATCGTCTGTACGACATGAGGTGCCTCTATCAATACTGGAACAAGAAGAGATGCGAGGGCGGGGGGCGGTATGGCACATCAGGTGGGGTGGTCCGCTGCGGTTTTGCGAGATCTACCCATGCGGCTACCCGGACCTTGATTGCGCGTTATTCCTAGGTGAGGGGTCTGCCGAAACGAGTCGCCGGTAACGTACACCGAGGAGGGAGATCTCGATCATGCTGTTGCTGTGGATGCAGTCGCTGCGCGTTACGGGAAATAATGCGATAGTGTGTCTTCTAGGACGGTGGTATATAGCAGCGACCAGGGCGAACCCTCACAGCACCAAATGCCAAACCCACTTCAACCTTCCGTGAGAGCACCAGAAGTGCGTAAGGTTCTTTCATCTGCTACAGCAGTATCTTGGACAAAATCACCAATCAGTGAATGGCTGGGATGGCCACGGACAACATGCATACAGAACTCGCAGAGGCAACAAGAAGAGACGATCTATGCTTGTTAAGTGCTATAGCTGCCGCATGTCAGGCAAACAACGAACGAACACAGGCTGGGCGTCCCGATACGACTCAACAACCTCATACATCAAAAGGACATGCGTACATCAAAAGTACATGCGTGCATCGTTTATAAACGTCAATCAAGTTCGTGATTTACGTCCAGGCGGGTGGGTGTGGTGTCTGCGTGAGAAAGCACCGTGAAACACAGGTTGGGGTAGGATAACTCTGTGTGATTGGTGTACAACCACGCTTACCTGGCGCTGAAACAAATAGATAGAAGGTGAGCAAAATACGCGGTCTAGCCGTTGTTCTACAGACGAAGTGCCACCGATATCCTACCAGACGGATGTGGTCTCATGTAGTATAGTCTGCAAAATTCATCCACCACAGCAGTGGGAATAAGCGCCGAACGAATCGCTTGCGGGGTACCCAGTGGTAGTAGACAGCTTCATTGATTCTTTCGGATTGAGTCTATAGCCCAATCGAAACCCCCAAGAGCTGTCGTGATATGGTTGGCCTTCATTCGGGGAAAAATAACAAGTTAACCCGTGCCAGATGATGTGTACAAATAAATACGGTACGCTCCCAACGTTTCGCGACCATCTTCGGCAAATCTGCCGTCGTGCCCTTCCACGTGTGCTTACCCTCGTCCATGGTGATAGAGACGTGTAGTCCGTGGGTCTTGATTCAGCTAGATATATGTCGACGTGATGTAGATGTGTCCAGGAAGCAGCAGCCGGCGATGTGTTTCTCTCTTTTCCGCAGCCTACCACCTGATACAGGCGTCACAGCAGCAGCAGCAGCAGCAGCAGCAGCAGCAATAGTCTCGTGCTTATAATAGTTGTACACCACGCAATGCAAACAATATCTACAGGACTCTTTCGCGAGCACCAAGCCGGCATGAAGGTGCATGGTTAAATATTTTGGTAAATGCATTTTATAGCTCGAGAGCACGAATAACAGGATAACACCGCAAGTGAGTAGACTGCTGTCATTCTTGTTGCATTCATGCATGCACATTCTACAGGGCCTCCACCCCGCAAGAAATCTACTCAAGGCGCAAGCGCGAAATTCGAGTAAAAAAAAATCGATAAAAGCGCATCATATGGACGGATCAGTTTGTGCCTTTCGCATTCAAGCACACCTTCTTTTGATAGGATTACTGTATCATGCATGCGTACCGCGTACCAAGAATTTCAACAAACCGATAACCATATAATAAATCTGACACACGCCGAGCTTAAGGAGGAGATCGCGACATGCGGGAGGTAAGGAACCCGCATTCTCCCGCAGTAACCCGCACCCCGCACTTCCTGCATCGGCCCGATCCACGGGGCATCCGTCACGTAGCATCTACCAGCCCCACACCCCAAAACCCCAGGACCCCAGGACCCGTGACCCAGAACACAAATCCAAAAACTTGCTAGAAATTTCGAAATTTCCCGCCATGGTGGGATTTCGTATGAGGAAGTGGGCAGGGTATCGAAGGCGGCGCTGCCCTGAAAGGACAGGGAATCCTTGAATCTTCGGGAAATCACGGGCGAGCGCCAGGTGGGTGCCGCGGGGGGAGTGTCCAGCAAGCCAGGTGTGGAAGGTAGACAGCCGCAGCAGCAGCAGCAGCGGCAGCAGCGGCAGAGGTGAGAACCCACCACCTCCAACCTCGTAGGCCAGGCGTATGGTAGAAACGACACAGCAAAGCCATTTTTGTGACGCTTCATTGGATGAGAATTAGTGTGGTAAATGTAAGCAAAAAAAACTCTCGCTGGGTTTCATTTTGCATGTTCTAAAATGTGAACATCTAAACAAGATGAATTCATCGGTTTCACGTGCCATTCCCAAAATACTATACAATAATCCCTTAACCAACTGCAGCAGACGAGAAGGGCCACGCATCAAGTTGAGGGGGGCAGTCAGTAACGCCTGAGGGAGCCGGAGATGCCATGGGTACGTCGCTGGAGGCGGGTACGATAGGGGGGGTGGGGTGTCGATGCACCGCTCCAACAACGGTCGGGTCCTTTCGCACCGCAGCAGCAGCAACAGAGGCCGTGGGGGGGGGTACACGGGAACGCCCAGGGGATGTTAAGGGAGAATCGGCGACAGCGGGGACGCTGAGAGCAGCAGCAGCAACAGCAACAGCAGCGACGGCAGCGGAAGCGGCAGCAAGGGCACATCGCTGGCGGTAGCATAAGGGGGAGGGGGGG